TTTATTTGTACAAACAGCACAGGAGGACATCAGCTCCATACAGATGGTAGCCCAAAGGGTCATGCCAATCCCTCTGTCCTCAGATGGAGAACTCTATTCCATCTTTGTGGGGGCCTGGAAACCTTTGGGAGCCTGAGGTGAAGCCTTGGCTGGAGCTTTAGTTGAGGCCTTGGCTGGGACTTCAGTTGAGACCTTGATTGAAGCTTCAGCCTTAGTTTTAGCACTGGCCTTGGGCTTTGGCCGACAGAGCCTCAGACCCTTGGCTATGTGTGCCCGAGCACGCTTCCCCTGCTTAGGATGGGCAATATAGGCCAGTCCACTGAGCTTGCAGTTGACACCCCTTGGGATCTTAGGCTTGATCTCCTTGGGCTTTATGAGAGCCTTGATAGCCTCGGCACGTGCATCCATGGCCTTGGTGTTGTTGGCCTGCATCTTCTTCAGGCCCTTCTTGTTGTGTTTCTTGGCAAAGCGCATGTTCCTCAGAAACTTGGGGTCCACCCCCTTAAGAGACTCATATCGTTGTGATCGGGGTTTCTTGATACCACTCTGTGCCATTTTCGGGACTGGTTGTGCGTGGTGTGGTTCTTAGACTTGGCCATGTCTGCACCTACACCCGCAGCTCCCTGCGCGCCAGGGACCGGAAGAGAGAGAAAGTCTAAGTCTGTCTTTAAGTCGAGTTTGTATGGAAGTCAGAACAGTTAGGCATGGTTAGTATTTAATGCCAGCTAGTCAAATGTTTGTCTTAATATATGATATATATATTAGTTGGGAAAAGGATAAGGTTTTCTGGGTACAGATTTACAACCTCAGAAACCCTATATGGGGTCACTATGAGTCCGAACTGACTCGATGACACAGAACAACGACAAGGTGTAGACAGTGTACCTTTCTATGCATAAGAATACTAAAGAAGCACTTCCAGTGTAAAGAAACCACAAAACATCTTTAACATAATAATGCTGTCATTGTTTAGTGTTGTCAAGTCAGTGCCAACTCAACTCATAGTGATGCTGTATAAGGTTTCCAAGGAGCAGCTGGTGGATATGAACTGCCAACCTTATAGTTAGCAGTCTTATGTTTATCCTATTGCACCACACTAGGACTCCTAGCCACCATATAAGGACATGCTTTAAAGCGGACATTACCTTCTCTCTGTCAGACTTGCTAGGATGCTGGAAGCTATGCCATCAGTATTTCAAATACCAGCAGGGTAGCCTATGATGGGCAGGTTTCAGTGGCGCTTCCAGACTAAGAGACTAGGAAGAAAGACCTGGAGATCTACTTGTGAAAATGAATCAATGACTACAGAGCGCTGGAAGATGAGCCCTTGGGTTGGAAGGCATTAAAAATACAGAGGGGCTACAGCAACGGACTTGATCTTAAAGGTGATGCATGAACAGGCAGTGTTTCATTTTATTGTGCGTGGGGTTCCAGGAGTAAGAGCTGACACTATGGAATGTAGCAACAAAGTCCCAACAGAAAGGGAAAGACGGAAAGAAGGCGAAAGGGAGAGACAGAGAGTAAAGGGAAGAAAAGGAGAGGGAGACCTTGGACTTGGCATGTACTTGGGGAGATGTGTTTCCTGTAAGCTTTTTGCAGCTCCCATCAGTAAGCGACTAAGACTATAATTGCAAAGTGAGGACTCAGATGAGCACTGGGATAATTCACAGCCCAGCCCAAACACAGAGACCAGAAATCCCCCCAGTAATCTCTCTAACCTTCAATAAAGGAAGAAAGACTAGCTCCTCTGCCAGCCCTGAGACTCTCGGAGAAGCCGGATGAATTTCCTCCAGTGATTGAATTACTTACGCATTAGCTCACCTTGTTCTCAGTAAATGTGCCTGTCTGGCTATCAGTGAAATCCGGAATGAATGGGAACAGCAATTGATTGCAAAGTGTCTTTGCTGGTTAGAACTTGTGCTGATCGAATTAAAGTTGCCTGTGAGTTTGGACAAAGAAAGTATGAATGATGGGGAAGGCCAGGCAGTGAGTAAACATGCTCCCCCTTAATGTCTCCTGTCTCAGGTCTTCAGGACTGCTGTAACGGAAAGACCACTAGGGGGTGGATTTAACAAACAGAAATTTTTTCTGTCACAGTTTGAAATGCTGGAAGTCCAAATTCAGAGCATCAGTTCTGGAGAAATTTCCCTGTCTCCTTTCAGCATCTGCAGGCCCAGCATTCCTGGGAGCTCTCCATCTGTCTTGGCATCAGTTTTCCCCTGGATCCAGGGACCCCAGGTCCAAAGGACACACTCTGCTCCTGGCTCTTCTGTCTTGGTGGTAATATTGCTGTTAAGCGTTGTCGAGTTGGGTCTGACTCATAGCAACCCAGTATAGGGTTTACAAGGAGCAACAGGTGGCTTGGAACTGCCGACTTTGTGGTTCACAGACCAGTGCTGATCTACGTCAGGACCCATGGTGGTGGCATTTGCTGTTGTTGGTTCTGACCCATAGCAACCCTGTACAGGGTTTCCGAGGAGCATCTGGTGAGCTTGAACCGCTGACCTTACAGTTCAAAAGGCTTTGCAGTGTGGCCCATTAATCCACAGTGCCACACCAGAACTCCAGTGGTGGTAACAGATCCCTCTTTTTCTACTCACTGCTCTCTCCGTTTGTTTCTATTTCAAGAGATTGCCTGAAGATACAACCTAATCTTGTAGGTTGTATCCGACCTCATTAATGTCACAGAAGAGGATTTACAACACTGAGGACAATTACTTTAGATCCGAACTGATCACATTGTGATGAAGATGATTGTATTACATTAGGTCTCATCATGTGGAATGATTCTGTCTTAACTGAACCACTGAGAATGCTGGCCGAGTCAAGTCGATATACATCTTCCACAATCCCAACTAGTAATCAGACAAGTAGACAGGGTGTAGCCCAGAGCCCAGAACTGCACGCTGATGGAACGTCTGAGGTTCAGAGATACAGTGCTTTTTGTCTGAGGTGGCTCAGCCAGGAGCTGGCAGAGCTGGATCTGAAATCTGGGACACATCTCCTCTCCAC